TTTGCAAGATCAAAATAAGTTGAAAATATAGCGATTGATTTTGTGGCCGCCATGCAGTGTTGCCAGAACTTTTTTGACCATCCGGCTAAATTGGCAAAATAAATCGGCTAAAACGGCTAAACTGTTTCATCTAAATTTCACATGTTTTATTTAAATAAATCATAAGTAGAAAGACTAGTTCTTGGAGAGAAGTTGCAAATTCAAGCTGGAAAAAATTTTGCCAGCAAGAATTTGCAATTAGGAAAAACATATGATTGTGGTACATGGTTGCATTTTTTGTCAACGATAATTTGAATAAAAAGGTTCGTAAAATTTAAAAATTTACGAACTGGAGCGATTTTAAAATGAAAAAGTTAGGTAAATACTTGTTTACTTAATTAATTTTGTTAATTCCAGTGATTTGAAACTTACTCGGAATGCAATCTCAACCAGAGTCGATATAGGAAACCCGACAGTTACTACGACAAAGAAATTGAAACGTATGTTGAAGAAAGTCGGACTAACAAGAAATATACATGTAGATCCTGTTTATTGCTCCTCTGAAAGAATTTTAAAAATTCTATACAAATTTCTTTTGTTTGAAATACAACCGTGGATACTAGCTGGCAGGAAAACTTGCAAATTTCTGCAAATTTGTGTTCGTGCAGAAATTTGCAAGTTTCTGTACTTGAGAGAGAATTAAGGAGCATTTTTTCTTACTATCTGATATTTGATAATTTTCGCTAATATTAATAAGTGATAATTTTCGCTGGATTTTCGACGAACAAACCTATTGTCTTTCCAGAGCGTTTTGCTTTAGATAGAAATTTGTGCTCTTTTACTTTCATTTTGACGCATTTCAGTGTTGGTTCTTTTAATTCAAGGATGCTTTCGGTTTTGGGAATTTAAATAAGTTGTCAGCAAAAAAAAGTTTGTTTAAAAAAACCCAGTGAAACAATTTGTTATTTTCTAAGTTTGCGAATAAAACTTGGCCTCATACTCAGCAAACGAAAAGACTCCGAACCGGTGACTAGGAGGGCATTCATACGACCAACCCTTTTTTTTCTCTTACATACAAAGTCTAAAAAAAAGTACACCTATAACTGGCCGTCTTCACATGCTTGAAAATCTCGCTTGCGTTCTGCTTTTTTCCTCGCAAGGGAGATAGAGTTTGGTTGACTGGGCATTTGACAGCATACTTTTTCATTTGTTAAATGTGGCCAAACAAGAAGGTTCAAGCCTTGCAGGCTCTTAAAAGTTTGAGAAAATTAGAAAATCTGCATAAAGAGATGTATACTATTTTCAAATAAAAAATGGCTGCCTCTAAATTTGTATTTGCCTCAAAAATAAACGATGTTGCTACTCTGAAGAATTCTGCGAAGTGAGAACATAGCTGTCAAATAACAAAAATGACAATTGAAAGCAAGCGAGAGCTCGCATACCGCTCGGTAAGTGCCGCATGAACTTATCTCCCAAAGCTGGCAAATGCAAATAAGGATTAAAATTTTAAAACTAATTAATAAAATTAATGTAAAGTATTTACAAAGTTAACAAAAAAAAATACTCTTTTTCGCAACATCTATAAAGGACCCTTTTATTTATCAAAAAACCTGTGCGACAGTTATTATCTTACGCCCTGTACTTTGCCATTCCTATTGTGGCAAACACTACTTAGGGCCGGTTACTCAATGTCCGGTTAACACTAATCTGCGGTTAAACATCGTTATCGACGTCTTCGACTCCGTGCATACAAAAGGGAGTCGGTAACGTCGATAACTATGTTTAAACGGAGATTAGTGTTAACCAGACATTGAGTAACCGGCCCTTAGTAAGCAAAGTTAAGGGCCGGTTACTCAATGTCTGGTTAACCCTAATCTGCGGTTAAACATCGTTATCGACGTTTTCGGCTCCATGCATACAACAGGGAGTCGGTAACGTCGATAACTATGTTTAACCGGAGATTAGTGTTAACCAGACATTGAGTAACCGGCCCTAAGTGTGATAGTGAAAAGGTGTAGGCATGGTCGTAGCAAGGTAGGTGCAGAGCGCTCAGGTATAAAAATCAGAAAAATATTAAAAGGCTTAAATTAAAAAACTGGCCATATATTCAGATAGAGTTTGGAATTCTTTTGTAGAATTTAGTTGGGGAAAATTTCCTATAAGGGCGGTCATTGAAGGGGGAGTGGGCATGGCACCCCGACCACCTAGGCCCCCTATGGGCCCCTAGGGACGCCTTAGAAAAATCGCCAAATATCAATATTGGGTGCCACGCCCACTCCCCCTTTGATCACCATCTCTTTAACGACCGCCCTTATTGGAAAGCCAGCTCATTTAGTTATTTATTTTTAACATTTATTGTTGCTTTGAAAAAGATTTCTAAAATATCTTTGTTTATTTGTACCTAATTAATGGTAATTTGTAACAATAAATTGCACAATAAATAAAAAAAATAAATTCTACTCCTTTTTAGGTCTTGTACTACTTTTTTTCTATCGAAAATATAAATGTACTCCTTTCTCCGTTTCAAAAACTGGCAACCCTAACATAAGTTTAGAATGTCAACAATCTAGCTATGCAAAAACCAAAAATATGGCTCTATAAAACTTTTTCGGCTGATTTCAACCCTACCGGAAGTAAAAAATAAAGAAGATATCAATGGTTAAAATTAAATTTTTTGATTTTTCTTATATGACTAAGGGCCGGTTACTCAATGTCTGGTTAACACTAATCTGCGGTTAAACACCGTTACCGACGTTTTCGACTCCATGCATATAACATGCATGGGTGCTACGCCTTCAATCGTTCAAATTTAAGATCATATATCAGGCGGGAAAATATAATATTGCTGACTCGTTGTCTAGGTTGTGTAAAATTGAAAATTCTGTATCATTACGTACTTTGGGAAATATCCTACTAAGAGGAACCAAAATAGTTATACCTTTTCCATTAAGAGCACGGGTCTTAGCGATTGCACATNAGGCGGGAAAATATAATATTGCTGACTCGTTGTCTAGGTTGTGTAAAATTGAAAATTCTGTATCATTACGTACTTTGGGAAATATCCTACTAAGAGGAACCAAAATAGTTATACCTTTTCCATTAAGAACACGGGTCTTAGCGATTGCACATGAAGGCCATCCGGGAGAGACAGTAATGAAGCGGCGCGTACGTTCAAAGGTATGGTGGCCTTTAATTGATCGAGATGTAGAGAAATGTGTTAAGAATTGCCGCGACTGTTTACTGGTGTCAAGACCGTCACACCCGGTGCCAATGAGCCGTCGTGTTTTGCCGGAGGGGCCATGGTTATGCCTGGAAATGGGCCTGTTGGGACCATTGCCTAATCATGATTTTATATTTGTGGTCATTGACTATTATTCCAGATATCAGGAGGTAAAATTTTTGAAGAAAATTACGTCGAGCGCTATAATTGATTTTCTAAATCTTAATTTTTCTCGAGTCTGGGCTACCCAAAATTCATAACTACTGATAACGGTCGTCAGTTTGTCAGTGATGAATTCAAAATTTATTGTTCAGGNTAAAATTTTTGAAGAAAATTACGTCGAGCGCTATAATTGATTTTCTAAATTAAGATTTCTCGAGTCTGGGCTACCCAAAATTCATAACTACTGATAACGGTCGTCAGTTTGTCAGTGATGAATTCAAAATTTATTGTTCAGACAAGAACATTGAAATTATAACGTCTCCACCATACTGGCCGCAGGCAAATGGTGAGGTAGAAAATATGAATGGATCGATCGTTAAGCGCCTGTGAATAGCACATAGCAATGGAACCGACTACAAGAAAAAAATTCAAAAATTTCTGCTGATGTATAATGTTACACCACATGGAACAACTGGGAAAGCCCCAACGGAGCTGTTATTCAATCGTCTAATTCGAGACAAAATGCCATCTATTTTTGACATCAGTGAGGAGATTTTAGATGGGGAGGCTAGAGACATGGATGCCGTTAATAAAGAAAAAGGAAGGCAGAAGGCAGACAAAGATCGCAGAGCAAAAGAGAGCGATATAAAGATTGGAGATAGAGTACTAATGCGGAACGTAGTTTTTCCAAACAAATTAACACCGACGTTTGGGGCGGAAGAATTTGAAGTGGTTGAACGGAAAGGAAACGATGTCACAATTCGTAAGGATAATAAAGTCTACAGGCGTAACATCAGTCATTTAAAGAAGCTTCCCAGGACATCAAAGTCTAACGATAATACGGCACCTTTGCATAAGGGTGATTTGCCACTTAATGATTTTCAGGGATTTGAATCCATGGTGGAACCGGTAGAGCCGGAGGTCCCTAACCCGTCGTTGACTCTGAAGTTAGAAAAACATTGGAGGGATGTGGAGACCTGTCGATGCTACCAATTGAATCAAGTTTTTATTGATCATTACTATCGTAGAATATTGTCATTAAGAAAATAGAAAGATAATTGAAAAGCTGTTGGAGACAGATGTTTTACGTTGTTAATTGAGTTTTCAATAAATTTGGCTGAATTATTTTAACTAATATTTTATACGAATTTGGTGCGTTTCCGGGTTATTACACTTATCAAAGTTTTGCAAAATATTTGAAGAAAATTTGTTTCTTCTCTCCTATATAATTTGAAAACCTGGAATGATAAGTTCCAGAAGGACTATATTTTCGGCTTTGCATTTATCCAGTCGCCGCTGGTTAGTCCTTACAAGGACGATTAGTTGTGATTACCGAGTGATCATCAAAAAGCCCATTAGTCTAATACATTCTCTTCGTTTTCTTGATTGGCGCTGTAACCACCTAAGCGATTTTGACCGAGTTCAACAAAGCACACCAGTCGGTTTTCTTCTGTGCCAACTGATACCAAATTAAAATGCCAAGTAAAGTCAAGGCATCGTCCACCTGTCCTTTTCAACGCGGAGAAGGCCATCCTGTTCCTCTGTTACCAGCATAGCGACCCGCATTGAATACTTTCAGAGCTCGAGCGTTTCTGTCCATTCGAACCACATTAATCGAACTTATTATGCCCAATTTCAGTTTTGCTGCTCGGCGCTCGAACCCATGAAAAGGTTCAGCATTTTACACATTTCACAATCGCTGCTGAGGCTCACACTGCTGGCCAGCGAGCACAATCCGCCAGTCCAAAGCGTGTTGGACGATTTTTACTTTTTAGTGACGCGCTTACAAAGTTTAGCGACCGTTGCGTCAATACCGTTCAGGAGGCCGAAGACTTACCGAAAACTGAAATACAGGTTATGTGGGTAGCACCGGCAGCTGGTTCTGGTTGCGTTTCCATATCTGCTATGGTATACGAAGGACCTCGTGCGTGGTACTCCGACGAGGGGCAGTTAACGCAGGTCGTTTGCGAGCGAAAAACCAACGTGCATACAGTTAAGAAGGAATGCTGTGCTTGTGACGAAGCTAAGTATAATGTAAGACTGTGGATATTGATAATATAATAAACCCAGCTACTAATTTGCTTTTTTTTTAAATTATAGTTCATTTTCGAAGGTATTTGGTCTAACGAAACACATCCCAAGGATTATCCGTTCGCCATTTGGTTGACGCATTTCTCAGACGTAATTGGCGCATCTCATGAGGCAAACTTTTCGTTCTGGGGTGAGCATCATATAGCCACCGATGGTTTCCGCTTATTAGCTGAATTTGGATCGCCGACTTCTTTGGAAACTGAACTACGTGCTAGAGGCCCACGTTTGAGAACTCTTATAAAAGCTGCTGGACTGTGGTATCCGAATGTAAATACGAATACTTCGTCGAAATTCCGTGTAGACCGTACGCATCCAAAGGTCTCACTGGTATCAATGTTTGGTGGGTATAAAAAAAACTGAATTAGAAATATTTAAAAATCTTACATTTAGGCCCTTCTCCCGACTGGGTCGTTGGCGTTAGCGGTGTTGATTTATGTACCGAAGATTGTTCATGGAAGGAATCATTAGACTTCGATCTCTACCCTTGGGATGCGGGCACTGACAGTGGCATCACTTACATGGTAATCATTTAATTAGCTTTCAATGTTACATTCAAAGGTCCTTTACCATTCCCCCATTGTAGTCGCCCAATGCGGAAACACAGCCACGAGAGCGCATGTATCGTATTACCACCATGTATCCAGAGGATCCCCGTTCACCCTTTTATAACCCAAAAAGTAGCGAAATGACGCCATTGGCAAGATTATACATTAGGCGCGAGAAAATCATCTCCAGGAGCTGTGATGACCATTTCTTGGAGGCATTGAAAATGGACGTATCTGATGATGCTGAGGAACAGGATACGAGACGTAAGAAAATAATTTCAAGTTCTTACTCAAATATTTACACATTTTTCATTGCAGCTGAATGTCAGCTAACAGGTTACAGCGAGTGGAGCCCTTGTTCCGTAACCTGCGGTAAGGGTATTCGCATGCGCACGCGTCTATATGTAAATCCTGAAGCGGCCGTCGCTGTTGATTGCTCACGCCAATTGGTATCGAAAGAAATGTGTGCAGCTCCAATAGCCGAATGCGAGTAAGGATCACAATTAAATACCTTATATTTGTCTATTGAATTAAATTAATAAATATTTATAATCCGCCTAGCGGTCAACCACAAGACGATGACGACGAAGGCGAGAACTTGGCACGAGCCGCGTCGCTGGTAACTGATGACGGTGAAGGCGCAGGCGTATGTAAGACTACACCTTGGAGCGTTTGGTCCGAATGTTCGGCTAGTTGCGGTATTGGCATAACGATGCGCACGCGTACTTTTCTCAATCACCTCGGTCGTAAACGCTGCCCACATATTACCATAGTTGAAAAACAAAAGTGTATGCGTCCCGATTGCACCTTTGAAGAGGTGGAATTACCCGATCCCATGTGCCCTACCACGCAATGGAGTGATTGGAGCCCCTGCACGGCCACATGTGGACGCGGTGTTACAATACGTACACGTCTCCTTCTATTGGAGAATGGCGCGGTCAAGGATAACTGTACAAAACGCATGGAATTAAATCAGCAAAAAGAATGCACTGTGCCACAAGAGTGCACCATTAACATGGAGATGGCCAAAGGTTTGTTACTATTCTATCTAACCATTTGTAATGCAACAAAATATTTGTTTTTAGAAATTTGTGTCGAGTCCTATGACAGTGGTCCATGTCGTGGCGTATACAAACGTTATGCTTACAATATGGAGTATGGACGGTGTGAAAGTTTCACTTATGGTGGCTGTCGTGGCAATCGCAATAATTTCCTTACCGAAAGCGATTGCTTGAATACCTGCAGCATGTTGCGTAAGCACCTAAGAACATCAAAGATACTGGTAATTGCTGTGTAACTCATCCCATTTTTTTTCATCTCAACAGGCACCACAGCCTTTACCAATTCTCGAGCACCGTCCCGGCTATCTTATCCTGAAGCATATCAAGCTGCAGATTATGGTGCCGTAGATTGCGTTATGTCCGAGTGGTCTAATTGGTCTCAATGCAGCGTTAGCTGTGGCACGGGATATTCTAATCGGAGTAGATACGTAATAACTGAACCGAAGAACGGCGGCCAGCCGTGCCCTAAGCGCAAGGTGAAAGTACGCCGTTGCATAATGGCTGATTGTTGAAAGCTACATATTTCATTAGGAACTTAAAGTATAAGTAAAATGTAATTCAGAAAATCTAAAATTTGAGGAAAATTACTTTATTCACACCTGTACTAATTGTAACAAGCAATTTAAATGGAAAATAATTTTTCGTTTTCTATCAGTTTCCATATAAAATTAAAAAAATTAAAATAATTTTTCACTTAACTGGCTTTCGTGAAATTGGCTGTTAGTGCCTGAAAATCATATATGTATTACATTCTATATTGGTAGTAAGCTAACATCTCAATGTGTCATGATTCAATTATTAAAGGTTTTGTAAGTAGCTTTTTTCTAAAATTTGGCACTCCCACCCACAGGGATGGTTTTTGGAAGCAGAAGAAAAAGGGGAAGAATTCAATCACACTTCCTAAAATGGGAGCTAAATTCTATAAAAACGTGTGGATAATAGTGAATGGTGGTATTTTAAAACAAAAACGAATTTGATTTAATTATTTAATTTAAACAAGCTTATTTACATCGAATATAACCCCCTATTGTTATTAAAAATAAATATTTCTATGTTTATACCAAACTTGCGTACGTCAGATGGCGCATAACTCGAGAATGGATGGTCCACTTTCAGCTTTTTTTTTGTTGTATTTGTTTGCCAGTTGATGGACATGAAGAAGCTATTTGTTTGCGGAA